ACTACGAGCGGTGCAATGTGCGTGTGCATATGTTCTTTCTTGTTTTATGATCAGCGCCCTCCTCTCATCTATGTATAGGAATAAAAGTCAGTCTAACTGTGTTTGTCACTAAGAGCAGTCGTGTCTTGATTCCCTCCGAATATTCCAATAATATATATATATATATGTGTGTATAATGATAATGTTCTTGTACAATCTTGTACAGGGACAATACTCAATGTAATTGTTCGGCTTTCTATTTCTAAAAAAATTATTAAATTATTTTTATTCAGACTTGAGACAAATATATATTAAAATTCTTATCAATATAAAATATTTATCAACAAGAAATTTTATATTAAGTAATGAAATGTTCCATTTGAATATTAACATGTTAAGTAATATAAATTATAATAATAAGAAATTGTAATATTTTTAAATTAAAATATTATTTGCATTATTTACAATGGTTTTAATAAAAAACTAAATATTCTCTTGAAAACAATTATAGGTAACGAAAAAATAGAAAAAGATGAAAAACAAGTGACAAAATGCCTAAAGTTACATTGAAATGTTCAATGATGCTGATAACATTTTTGAGTGATAACTGATAGTATTAATGATAGCATTTTTAGTGATAACGTGGCATAAAATTAGAACTGTTCTTTACGTAAAGTTGCGTTCTTTAAAAACAAAAAAAAATTCTTATATTAACTTAGGAAAAACGTAAAAAAAAGAATACTAGGACTCAGTACATTTCCTGTTGTGTTTTGCCATGGCGGAAATATTTTCTACATATAACCGCGATAAATTATTGTAATGTGCGCATATAGCTAAGTAGACGCAAATAATTATGCAATATGCAGGTAGATACAATAAAAGTAGGATTATAGTATATACATTTTACATATGTATATGAATGTATACATATACATAAACACATAGATTGAAAAAGTTATTTTCTTTTATTTCTTTTCTGAACCTACGAAAAGTAATGTATAAAAATTATTTTACTTCCTCTAAACAGAAATATTTATGTTCTTTCTTTTAAAAGTGTTATTGACAGGATAATTAATAAAATAATTTATTCGATGCATTATGAATGTACTTACAATTAGCTAATTCTATATAGAAATCATTTCGTACAGTCAAAACCAGCTGCAGCATGTGGAGACTCATATCGTATTGGCCTTAGTGATGATGAGAAAAACACAATATTATATAAACACAACGAACTAAGAGGAAAAGTCGCATCAGGCCACGAAGATAGAGGAAAACCTGGTCCACAACCTGCGGCAGTTAGCATGCCAGACTTGGTAAGCCATAATGAATTATACATTGTTATATAGTAAATTTAAATGTATAATAAACAAAAAACATTAAATAAATAAGTACATTTTAATTTACTTTAAACAATTAAATTCTTTAGAAAAAAGATAGAATTGTGATTTAACTGCAATAGCTTAATATATAGCTTAAAGATTTGATTATTTATTTTACCACATCTTTTATATATAAATTAAAAATGGATATAACAATAATGTTAATATTAACCGATATTAATTCAATTAATTTCAATTTTGCAAAGCGTTTGAATAACTATCTTATCTATATACTGTTTATCTATATACTGTTTATCTATAAGTGCATATAAAGATACTAGATTTTTTCCGATGGTTTATAATTTACGAAAAAAGGTGTATGGAATACCCTCTTTAATTTTATATAGCATGCAATACAAAATAAATATATGTCTGTCCATCTTAAATTTTGTTTTTTGTACTATAAGATTAATATACGCTGTGATCTTCGTTAATTACTCGCTAGTTTGGCCTATTTCCAATAAATTTTTTATTATTACATTAAGAAGCTTTTCTTTATATGGTTAAAATAAATACATATTTAAATTAAAATATTTATTTATTTTAAGTCAAAATTTATATAACATGGTCTGTATTTAGAATGCGCTTATAAGTGATATTAGCGCGATAATAAGTCTGAAATTCTATAGTGTATGTAAATGTACACTAACACCATTATAATCATGTTTTGAATGCGGGTATATAACTATAATATAAAATTATAAATAGAATTTTGTTTCAAACTTTTTGGCTCTAGTGCGTATATAGACTGTATACATATACTTGTACATATTCGCGCGCACGTATTTGTGTGTATTTGTACAGTCGTGGACACATCGGTTGCGATACATTTTTTTTATAGGTTTCTAATATATATTTAATATACATAATACACTGCTCAAAAAAATTATGGCATAGAAAAATTTTGAGCAAAAATTGGTCAACTTTGATTAATGGTAACTCCGCGAAAAATCATCGTAAAATGATGAACTTTTTTTCAAATGAAAGCTTGAA